CAGAGGTATATCTCACTTAGAAATCTTTTATGAACATATGTACGTTTGTAATTATTAAAGTTGCATTAAGTGTTAAACTAATCTTTATTTTGTTATTAGATTACACCAACGAAACAATCACATAGACCATTACCACAGGATAGAAGTCAATATTCCTTAGATGAAATTTCTAAATCAATTGTACCTGTTAGAGGTAAATGTACTATAAATCAGATAATAGAATTTATAACTAAGCATGAAGAAAATGAAGTCAAATATTCTATAGAAAAAATATCTCAAGACTACAAAATAGATAAAAAAACAGTAGGTAAGAATATGTTAGACAAAGATATGTTAATATTATAAAAGTAAATTTATATTTTTTAAATCAGTTTTAAATATTTGTATAGATATTGCATAATTGTTTCAGAAAATATTTTACAAAATTTTAAACTTTTTCATCATTTAAACGAAGAAACTCCATTGATGCTAGATGATAAGAAAAAAAAATGATTTTGTAAAATGTAGTTAAGAGAACATGTAGATAATAAAAAAATAATTTATTGAAAATAATAATAATTTATTAAGGATTAGTTACCTTAATTTAATTTTACTTTAATATTTAATGTTTTGGCTACTAAACATTTTAGCAATTTAATACAGTAATAGAAGGAAAAGAAACAATGAAAATGAAAAAATGAATACACAACATTATCATCGATAGACTTTTTGCTTTTAGTTTTTCTATATTTTGGAATAATTGAACTAATTTCTAAAAAATTGTTTATCAACAAATAAAATACAATGTAATATTTTTGTCCTTTATATATACAATAAATTAGATTACATTATATATATTTACAAAATATAAGTCTATAAATATTTCTATACATGTATATACATGTATGTTCTATGTATATATATGAAATTTTTTACATGCCAAAAATTCTTGTTTTTATCTTTCAATGATACTATCATACTATTCATAGTATGATTGCAAAAGATTGTATATAGAATTGGCAATACGTATAAAAATAATAACTTTAATATATATTAAAATAACATTAGTTCAAGCACAATTTTGAAACTGTTTATCTCTGGCATAAGTCATTTTTAATCGTACATTTGTTCACTATCATTTTGGACACACCTTAATTAACTCCATATATCTGGAAAATCTAAAACATAAACATAAAAATTTCAAGAAGTCAAACTTTTTATCCTGGACAAAATTTTATTATCTCTATGTACTTACTGCATAGAATGTAATACAAGGAAATAAGATAAACTAATATATGGAATTGTTTGCATGTAGAAGGCGTTGAATCAGAATGGCCAAAAAGCAAACCTTCATCGACTAGCTTTACTTCTGGAATGGTTGCTGTTTTTTTTAACATCCAATTGAAAGCATCCATTTTTAATCTTCTTTTTAATTCTGGACCTACTTCATCTCTAATTCGACGATTATAATTATTTATCCATCGTATCTGAAGAATTATTAATTTTTTTTTTTTAAATTTTACACACATATAAAGTACTTTCTAATTAATTGTTAAGGTTAATTAATAAATAATACCCACGTGAGATGGATTTAACATATCATAATTAATCAACTTCGGTTCATATGGAACTAATGTGACGTCCCTGAATTTTAAAAAAGTTTTCTGAAAGAACATATATATTTTTATCCGAGAATTCCTCCAATTTTGGAATAATTATAACTAAACTATCTACTGATTTGCCTGCTTCCACCGTTTCGAGAATGTTCTCCAAACGAACGCCGAAATCGCCTTCTTTGTAGTAGCCAGGTTCATTCGATAAAAAAAATCCTGGTTTTAATTCAACAGGTCCGCAAATTTTATCTGATGATGCAGGCTGTCCGTACGATACACCAATAGGTGCTGGAAATATACGAGCATTACAATTAGTATTAATGGATAACAATTTAAAAATTCGATCAAAGTTTTGAATTCAATTAATCTCTTGACTTCTAATGATTTGTAATTAGAATAAAATTCAAGTCATGGATTGTACGATTAATACTGTATAACTAAGTCTTTAATTTTTCCAAAATAATGAGACAAACATTCGTGGACAGACAAAAAGTGACCGATCCCATGGCCAGTTCCGTGCAAATAGTCGTAACCGATGTTCCATAATGGTGCTCTTGCGACGATATCCAGTTGGTTGGATTTTAAACTACTTGGGAAAATTAACGAAGATAATTGTATTGCTCCGATTAACACTCTTGTGTATGCTTTTTTCTGTTCTTCTGTTGGTATACCAAAATGTAGTGTTCTCGTAACATCTGTAGTTCCATCTGTTAAGTAGAAAGAAAAAAAAAAAAAAAAAGAAAAAAAAAGGAAAATGGAAAAAATATTGAAAATTTCATAGTTTTAATTAATTCGTAGGGTGAAATAAAATCTCGTTCGGGTATTCATAAAAGATAATATTTGTAAATTCTTGATGGAATAAAAATTCCATTACCTAAATATTGCCCTCCTGAATCCACAACCAAAGTAGACGTTTTCCCAATCTTAATGTTCGTTAAATTGTTGGGTTCGTAATGGGGAATGGCAGCATGGGGTCCATATCCAGCGATAGTAGGAAACGAGATGCCTTTATTCTTATCCTGTTCGTAACGAAACTCGTTTGCCAATCTCGCTACCTGCATCTCGTCCCAACTATCTGAATTCAGTTCGTACTGTTCCTCCATATATGCAAGGAAGTCGCACATCATCACCGCGTCCCTTAAGTGGGACCTCCTCATCCCTTCTGCTTCAATTTCGTTCTTCTGTGCTCGTAAACTTAATACCGGTGACGGTTTTGGCAACCGTTTCTCCGCGGGAATCTACGAAGATAAGTTTAC